CAAAGCAGAGCCTTTACTAAATATTTAAACAAGTAGATTTGTACTGTAATGTTAGCTTAGTGAAGTCTACAAGTAATTACTTTTCATTGTTGCTTCCACACTGCAGCAACTAAAGAAATATATTTAACATTTCTTTCAAAATAAATTATGGAAGATTCACGTTGTTGAGAGGTGCATAATTGGCGAATCATGGGCCCAGGGGTGCCAAATTACTTGGCAAATTAAATACCAAAGGAACATTTTCATATCTTAAATTAACTGTGATTCTAAAATAAAAAAAATAAAAAGAAATTTAGAACAAATGTATATAATTTTTCAAATTATGGGAGGTTTCAAAAATTTATTTCAAGCCTTTACGTTTGGGGTAAGATTTTCAAGATTGGCAAGATATTTTAAGCAGTTACCTCTGGTAGCTGTCTGGTCATCCTCCCACCACACAAACAAGCAAGTTCAACATTTAGCTCTGATACTTCCATTTCTCAATAAGGACTGGGAAAGATGTCATGGTTTTCTTTAATAAATTCACAAAACAGTTTATCCAATCAATTTTTACATTATTTGACATAATGGTGCACATTAACAGACAGTGGGAATACTACAGGGGTAGACCAGAGCTGGTGGAGGCCACCCATGCTGGACAGGCTACAGTTCATCATTGAAAAGCGGAGCAGCTGGACTGGCTACTGAATGAATAATTTTGGTGACTGTGTTTTATGCTTATTTTCTTTAATCTAAAGAATTTATATTGTTTGAACCATTGTTTTACCTTTTTTAACTGTAAACAAAGATACTGAGCCTATACAACAACACCTAAGAACATTTATGGTTACCTAGACAACTAATAATAAAATATGGTCATGCTGTTTGTACCTTATTGTTCCCTCCAACCCAAATGAATGGTGTTGTGACCTTCTATAGTGCATTTTTCCCAGCTGAGAAGAGATCCGCCTCCCCCCCCCCTCAAGAGTTACACCTGATTGGCTGTTGCAAATCTGTCCAATTTTGTCCTGAAGTAATGATGTATTTCTAAATTATTTTATTCATAATGGCCATTTTTGACGAGAAAGATATTTAGCTAAATTATATAAAGATACATACTTTACTTTAACTACAGTGGTCCCTCGGTTAACGAGATTTCGGTTAACGAGTTACCTTCCATAAGATTCTTAACTCCGGTTAACGAGTTTCTTGCGAGCTGACCTGAACATGTTTTCGCTTGCATTTGGCGGTCCACCAGCTGTAGTATTAGTCCGCCAGTACAGTAAACAGTTCTAGGATTTAAATTCCTTACCATTTTAGTAAATATCAAGAAGTTTATACTATTCAATAATTTTAAATGTTTAATATTAAATTTTTTAGTAATTTTAACAATTATTGAACATGCCATCCAGCCTGCCAACACACCATACAGGCATCAGTCTTTGTGTTTTTTCAGTGGAGGTAACATCTTGCTTGAGACTCTCTTCATCTAAATGCTTTTTTTCTGTGTTTCCAAGCAAATTATTGGTCATTTTGAAATTTATTTTACATATTTACAATATATAATGCAGTGCAGTGTTGATTTAAAGAACATAATCTTGAATTACACCAAGAGAACTGAAATTTTATGGGTGAAATGGTGCCATGGGGTGACTTCTCTTCCACCCCAATGCCTTCTCTTCTCCTCAACCCCATTCTAATTCCCATCATCATCATCCAGGAGCCTTCTACATACACACCTCAAAGTAAGTGTACTTTTCTACCTTTTTTGTTGAATTTAGGCAATTTTCGGTGAGCTGGAACCAATTACCCCAAAACCCATTGAAACAATGGTTTCGGTTAACGAGTTTTTCGGTTAACGAGCACCCTTCTAGAACGGATTGTGCTCGTTAACCGAGGGACCACTGTATTTCAAACATAAGCACGTAGGAAGTTTATCAAAAATATTATAGTACATGAATTAACTGTTAAACTCGGGGAGGAAATTCACGCTTTCTTAGGATGCATTTAATATATGCTTATTTTTACCCACAATAAAGCATACTAAGACAGATTACATATCAGTAACACTACATTATGCAAAAACTAACATTTTAAAAGATCAGAATCACATTGAAATATTACACGGCCATCAGCAGAGGTGGGAAATACGACTGAGAACAACTGATGCGTAATTTGTCTTAGTATTATGTCTTATTGTGGGTAAAAATGAGTACAGTACAGTGATATCTCCATTAGCCGGAACAATTGGTGCAGAGAACTTCCGAGAACGAGAGATTTCCGGTAATGAGACGACTCTCAAAGCCGGAAAAAATCCCTTCATCCCCGGAATTTTCCGGGTAAAGTTAAAATGTTTTCAGAAGTTTCAGAAATAATCCAGTACATCATCTCTCAAACCCAGAAAAATATCCCTTATCCCCGGAATTTTCTAGGTAACGGAAAATTTTTCTCGGAATTTCTGGAGAATGGGCATGATTTTCGTATCTCAAATCCGGAAAAAAACACACCCACCTACGGAATTTTCCGGATATTGGGAATAATTTCTCAGGATTTTCTGGAAAATCGTTCCCAAAGCCGTAATTTTTCGGAAAATTTTGTCTTTGGGTACGATTTTCCGAGAAAATTTCAATTCCAGCTATTGGAGAGCTCCGGGTTTGAGAGATTTCGGCTAACGGAGATATTACTTGTACAGTCAACCCTCGCTTTACGCGGTCCCACATTCCGCGTTTCCACGCTTACGCGGTACCCTGCCGAAACCGGAATGCTCACATCCCGCGGTGCGTGTACCCCTTTATGCGGAGAGCGGCTGGCGAGCCGCGCCATTTTTGGATCCAAACCTCCCGCCATCCGCCATGTTGTGTAAGCGGCGCGAGCAGGGTGCGCACAAGGTCGCCCAGTCATCAAAACATTACCGAGTTCTTCACCCGCCACCCACCACAGCCGGCCCAAGTCAGTGATAGTGATAATTATAGTGAGGATATGGACTTATATGGACTTTGAGGGGTTTGACAAAGAGGCCCTGCAAGCCTCTGTGGTGGATAGTGATACAAGTGATACAGGTGAGGGCCAATAATCTGCCCTCTGCCTCAGAACCAACCCCCCATCCCCGTGTGCCCAGCCATCTTTTCTACTAATGTAAGTGTTAAAAAACCTAATATTATTGATATTTCTCTTAATTATTAATTGTGTGTGCATACCATCATAAAATTAAGAAAGTTATTTTTACTACAACGTAGGTATTGTGTCTGAAAAAGTGGAGTTTGGGGGTCGGCCCGGTCTCTATTTCAATTAATCCCATATGTTATGTTGTTCACTTTACGCGTTTCTCACTTTCCGCGGTATCCTGTGGGTTGAATTAACCGCGTAAAGTGAGGGTTGACTGTATAGTATATATTAAATGCGTCCTCCGAAAGCGCGAATTTTATACCAGAGTTCAACAGTTAATTCATGTATGAGATTTCTGATAAACTTCCTACCTGCTCATGTTTGAAATAATGAATGTATGTATCTTTATATAATTTAGCAATATATCTTTCTCGTCAAAAACGGTCATCCCAACAGCTATACATAAACTCATTTAGAAATACATCATTACTTCAGGACGAAATCAGACAGATTTGCAACAACCAATCAGCTGTAACTCTTGAGGAGGGGGCGGGGCATCTCTTCTCAGTAGGGAAAAAACGCACTGTAGTTTTGACACCCTTTTATATTAATTGTGTCACTCATATGTCAGTCATGCTCCCATCATGCCATCCTTTGTAAGGATCAAGCCAAGGTTACATACAGTAGACTCTATGATAAGACCATTATCACAGAGGGTGATAAAACATTCTCTTATGAACCATATTATTCCTCACATTCATGCTTGTTATACTCACAACCATTCTGAGGGACAATATAGCTTGAAGTTTTCTGATATTATCGTTATTAACTCCAGCCACCAAGACACACACGCTCCACTCTGTCATAATTATCTAATAATGATGTAACCTATTATGTTAAATAATGTAAAACTTGATTGGGTAAATTGTTTTGTGCATTTATTCAGCAAAACAATGACATCCTTTCCCAGCCATTATTGAGATATGGAAGTATCAGAGCTCGATTGTTGAACTGTGAGGGTTGTTTGTGTGGTGGGAGCGATGACTGGACAGCGGGCCTGCCGTCCAGTTAGGGCGGGGGCGGACTTTACACCCTCCGCCTTGACTGTATCAAACTTTGGTCTGGGACTGTACTGTATGTCCAGCCAGCACAACACTTATACTACTGTAATAAAGTCTGTAGATCCAGTCACCATATATCCTACAAGTACTGATCTCTGTGATAAAAATTTAGCAGCTTTATGGTGATATACACCAGATAAATGAGCAAACAACTTATTTTGACTCAATGAGAACAATGTTAAGTTAAAACATAGGGAGTGGGATTGGGCCTGAAGGTCGACCACTAGCATGGAAGATGTAACTTGAGTCATTGTGGTCATTTAGTATCATATTGATATGAGTGTCAAGGAAACTATATTCGTGCAAATGTTCTTATTAAATAACCCTATTCAACTGACACCCCCCCCCTCCACAGTAATTTTGTCCGGCAATTTTAGAGATTTTATATTTTCTTCGATCCCAGAAATAAGTCCTTATTATGGTGTGGGAGATGGGCAGCAACACCTGGCTGCAGCTTAATGCATTTAATGTACCAGTAACTGTCAGGTCCTGACACAGGCCATAGGCTAAGGTAGCGGGAGACTGCACCACTAATAACAGGTCACAGATGTCTTAATTAGGTGACAACACTCGACTTACAGGTGGCTATTCCCTTACCTGAAATGACGCTCTGCTGTTTCACCTCTTACAGTCACACTGCTCACCACTCCTACACATAAGGCTGTCCAATAGTTTACTGTACAACTTTGAATCAAGGGAATGTCTACTGACATTCCTCCAGCTTTTGAAATTTTATTTATTTTTAAAGACAATATCATTACAAAACTTATATTTTTTCTTATCTTATAATGACAGGAGCATTGGCTGCCAATCGTGCAAAGGAGAGACAAGATAAAAGTCGTAGTGAAGATGGGAAACGAAAACGACTCGTGGAAGAGAAGGAGAAAAACACTTACAAGAGGCTGTATATTCATGCCAGCACTAAGTCCAAGAATACTCAGCCAGTCAAAAATGGAAAGAGTTCCATACAAGGTTATGAACTTTACCACAAGAATGAGAAAAAGGTCGATGTAGGAAGTGATAAAGTGATTATATGGAATGAAACGGGTCTACAGCTCCAAAATTTTAATGGTGCGCGGATAATGAATTCGGAGCAACCCAAATCGTGTAATAAAGAGGGGAAGAGGAAAACTATTAATTCAGATTTATTACCCAGAAACATTAATTTTATCTCGAGCGCCAGTCAGGATAGTCGTGGCGATGAAAGATGAGGAGTTCTTGTAATATTACTTTACTCTACTTATTAGTTTTAACATTCTATTTAATATGGGTAAAAAAGAACTCTTGGTATTAAAAGTATTTCCCTGTGTGTGTGTGTATGTGTAGTACTTATTTAGCAGGGAGGTGTACGTAGAACTTTCTTCCATATTTTTACATGATGGTGAAGACTTTAACAATGTATCTCATATGCAAATTACTTAAATGACAAAAAGGATGCACAAAAGATGAATTACTGTATTGATAATGTGGAAAGATAAAGAAAAATGTACAAGAAATACATAGAAGACAGAAACATTTATTAAATAGTTAGTATGGCTTTAAATACAATGTAATGTGTGGCTAATTAAAAGTGGTGCCACTGTAGCTATGTGGAAAATAGGAGAACCACCATTTGAAGAATGTATGTACAGTACAGTAGAGTACGTCTTAAGGCGCTGTTTTGTGATGGTGCTTCTGTCAGCTTACAGAGGCAACTGATCTACGTAATAATTTGTTCAAAGACAAATTATTTTGTTAAAATTGTAGCCTAAATCATCAGAAATATTGTACTGTACATCTCTGGGGTTGGGGTTGGTCTTAACTTTGAAGATGTCAGAAATGAATATATGGAGAGTTACTGTATTGCTGAAAGTTGGTGAAGTTGATCTGAACTTTGAAAACATAGGAAGTTAAACTGTTATGTGATTGACAATGTTAAATAATTATTATCCAAATATTAACTAGCTACCTCACAGATAAGCAGTGGTGGCAGAGTACAGTATATACTGGTACTCTACGTGTCCACGATGTTTTGACATTGTATAAAGTGATGGCTGTATAACAATCAGTATTATGCAAGAGGCCCAGTAAACACTTAAAGCACAAATGTTATAACACAGCCTCTCCCCTGAGGTCCTCCTGGCTGGACCCGAGGTCCTCCTGGCTGGACCCGAGGTCCTCCTGGCTGGACCCGAGGTCCTCCTGGCTGGACCCGAGGTCCTCCTGGCTGGACCCGAGGTCCTCCTGGCTGGACCCGAGGTCTTCCTGGCTGGACCCGAGGTCCTCCTGGCTGGACCCGAGGTCTTCCTGGCTGGACCCGAGGTCTTCCTGGCTGGACCCAAGGTCCTCCTGGCTGGACCTGATGATCAACAATAATCTGTTAATGAGTGAAACTTTATAAAAGTATCTAGTACAGTACAGTATGTTACAGTACAGCACAGTACAGTATGTTACAGTACAGCACAGTACAGTATGGTACAGTACAGTATAGTGTTAGACTTCACCCAGGCATTAAAATTTGTTGTCTGAGAAAATTATGACATTAAAGATCACATATTATTTTTACTAGGTACGGTCCCCTTCACTAGTCAGTTTACAGGGGCTAGTCATATAAACATTCCATGAATAATTACATTGAGATATTTGTTTTAATATTGTTTTACATTGATTCCATAGTAGGTTTACTATTGCTAGTTCCTTTTGTCAAATAAATACAAACACAGGGCTTCCACACTACACAAAACCTGACAGGCCCCTGTAAATGCACTATTGAAGGGAACTGCCAAATGGAGAGTGTGATAGTTTATAAGTAAGTGGTTATGTCTCTTATTAAAGACTTGGTTTTATGAATCATGGCAATTACTGTACAGGTAATTCTTTCCTTCCTCCACAGATTGTCAACAGATTTTAACTTTGGGAATTTGTAATCTGTATTTTATGGCATATAAGATGCACATTTTTGTCTGAAAAATAGCTAAAAAAAATCAGCCTGTGTCCTATAGGTAAAGTTGTGTTCTCCTATAAGCTAATGAATCCTCCCAGTTGCTGTCTCCAGTAGGCTAAATTCTACCTAACCCAACTCTAGAATAAAAATATGTCATTGCTTATTTAATTATTTTTTATTAATTTAAAATAATATTTATTGTAAATATAAAAACTGGATTTATAACTACTGTACAGTACTGATGATGGTAACGTGAGACGATTAACATCCGTACGGCAGACTCCCAACTCTTCAAAGCTAAGCAGTAACCATTTCTGAACTCTTACAAGCATTACAATCTATTAATGTCATGCCTGCAACATTTATTTTTAAATCTACAAATACCTGATACAAATGAAGATTTACAGATAACATTCTTTTCACATTTGCATCTGTTAACATCGCTGGCAGCATTGTAGCCACGTTAGACTCATCACTGTAACCACCAGGCTACTGGGCCAAGCTGTGAGGTGGTATGGTTGTTTTTCGACTCTTATTTTTGGGTACAGTGGTCCCTCGGTTGACGAGCACAATCCATTCCAGCAGGTTACTCGCTAACCGAAACCATTGTTTCAATGGGTTTTTGGGTAATTGGTTACAGCTCACCGAAAATTGCCCAAATTCAATAAAAATGTTAGAAATTGACACTTACCTTGAGGTGTGTATGTAGAAGGCTCCTGGATGATGATGCTGATGTGAATTTGAAGTGGGGGGTGGAGGAGGAGAAGGGAGAAGAGAAGGAAGTGGAGGTGGAGGAGAAGCATTTTACTGTTTCTTGGAAGGTGAGTCACCTTCCATGAAAATGTCAGGAACCTCTGGACTGACAGATTCTCCACCATGAACATCCTCTCTCCTTCTTGAAGTGGAAGGCTGAGGGATAGCATCTTGTTCCCTCTGCCTTTTATTGAAGAAAGTGTCAATTGTGGTCTGTGGGGCATCTCTCGTCCTCACCATTAACTTCTGTTTAAAGAAGGAGACCATTAAGTCCTCAACATGACACAAAGTTAGTTCAGTTTTTTCCACTTCTGGGTGCTTTGAAGCCAGTTCCCTGAACTTCTCCCAGTGGTAAATCACATCTTTCAACTCTTTAGTTGACATATGGTCATCAATTTCAATTTCCTCCTCACCATTGTCAGCCTCTTAACATCTCATCCAGTTGCTTCAAGTCATCAGGAGTAAGTTCCTCCTCATGAGACATCACAAGCTCTTCGACATCCTCCTCTTCCACTTCAAGGCCCAATGACTGACCAATGGACACAATCTCCTGGTCCATTTCTGTGTCATCCTGAAATCCCTCAAAATCATGGACTACTGATGGCCACAGTGCTTTCCATGAAGAAGTGAGGGATCTAGTGGAGACTTCTTGCCATGATGACACAATCAATTTTACAGCCTCCAGGATGTTGAATTGTGTCTTCCAGAACTGTTTCAGTGTTAGTTCAGGATCATTGGAAGTTGCCTGATGACACCTCCTAAACATTTTCTTCATGTACAACTTCTTGAAGTTGCTGATCACATTCTGGTCCATTGGCTGTATGAGTGATGTAGTGTTGGGAGGCAAAAACAACACTTTCACAAAGTCAAATTGATACTCCAAAGTTCTGGTAAGTTCAAGGTCATGACCAGGAGCATTATCCATGAGAAGAGCCTTTAAAGGGAGTTTATTGGTGGTTAGGTATCTCTTGACAGAAGGGCAAAACACATCAACAGCCCATTCATTAAAGAGCTGTCTTGTCACTCATACCTTACGGTTGGACTTCCAATAAACTCCAAGCTTTGTTCTTACCACTTTTTGTTGCTTGAACACCCTGGGGTTTTCAGAGTGGTAGACAAGCATAGACTTCAGTCGGAAATGCCCTGAAGCATTGGCACCAAGCAATAGAGTGAGACGGTCTTTCATGGGTTTATGCCCAGGTAAAGAGGCTTCATCTCTGGTGATGAATGTTCTTTTGGGCATCTTTTTCCAGAACAGCCCAGTTTTGTCCACATTAAACACTTGCTGTGGAAGATAATTTTCTTCTTCCATCAGTTCTTTAAATTCATCTAAAGACTTTGCTGCCCCTTCCTTATCAACACTAGCAGCTTCACCATGCCTAACAACAATGAAAATGTCGCTTCTTTTCTTAAATTTTTCGAACCAGCCTTTGCTGGCCCGAAAATCTTCAAATTCTGTGCCTGAAGAACCAGGTTGATCTGTCTTTAAATGTTCGTAAATCTCCCTGGCTCTTTCACAAATGAATTCAGTAGAAACTGAATCACCTTTCATCTGTTTTTCCCTAATCCAGATGATAAGTAACCTCTCAGTTTCTGCAATTAGGGATCTACTTTTAAACACTCTGGTAGATTTGTCTCTCACTTTCACTTCTTTAAATTTGTCTTTCTGTGCAAGAATTGTCGACACAGTTGATGTCGACATGCCATATTCTTTGCATAGCGCATTTGTTCTAATGCCTTGTTCATGTTTTTTTATAATTTCCTGCTTGGTTTGGATTGAAATCGCTTTTCTTGATCTCTTAGGCCCCATGCTGGATTCAAACAATGTCAACACGTGATTTTTAAAGTTAAACTAGCTGTAAATAAAGAATATTTTCTTTAAAATAACACTGCACTGCACTATATATTGTCAATATGTAAAATAAATTTCAAAATGACCAATAATTTGCTTGGAAACACAGAAAAAAAGCGTTAAGTTGAAGAGAGTCTCAAGTAAGATGTTACTTCCACTGAAAACAGAGAGAGACTAACGCTTGTTTGGTGTGTTAAAAGGCTGGATGGCGCGCATAAAACTAGTGACTTTACCTTCAATTATGTTCAATAATTGTTAAAATGACAAAAAAAAAATTAATATTAAACTTAAAATTATTGAATAGTATAAACTTCTTAATATTTACTAAAATAGTAAGGAATTTAAGCCCTAGAACCGATTACTGTATTGGTGGACTAATACTACAGCTGGTTGACCGCCAAGTGCAAGCGAAAACATGTTGAGGTTGGCTCGTAAGAAACTCGTTAACCGAGGGATTGCTCGTCAACCGATGTTAAGAATCTTATGGGAGGTAACTCGTTAACCGAGGCGCTCGTTAACCGAGGCGCTCGTTAACCGAGGGATCACTGTATATACACTTAGCTTCCTTCATTTATTTTTACTCAGTTACATGCACACACCATCCTACATTAACACATTGTGAAAAAAAGGTAAAAGAAATAATTGTTCTAATGGCAAACACATAAAGGGAATATACATTTCTTTGCACACAAGATAGCTGACTCAGTGGGGGGGGGGTGGGTTTTGCTTGGGGATTGGCGGAGGTCGCGTTCTTGTTGGTCTCCGTTATTATGGTGAAGCAGGGAGTGTATGTAAATGGTGACAGTGTTAAACTTTCATTTGGCTTTTATTTATTCTTATTTTTATTTATTCCTCACATTTACTGGTACTGTATATATTATTTTAAGAAAACTATGGCTATAGGAGGAAAATACACACAAAGTTTTTTCCTAAATACTCCCTGCTGTGTGTCTTATATGCTGTAAGATAAGGTATATAAAATCCTTTCATATCTTGTTAAACTTGGGGTAGCTTATAAAGGATTGTAAAGGCAATTTTATCACTAATTACGTGCCTAAAAATTTTGTGTGGTCATATAGGTAACCCTTGTTTAACAATTTGGATGTGTTCCTGTTAAACCTGATGTTAAGTGAGGTTATCACCACATGAGGGATAACAGTGAAGCACCGACATGTTCAAACAGCAGGGCGGTTAACTCTGAGAACAGTACTGTATTGTACTGTACTGTACTGTACTGTACTGTACTGTACTGTTCTGTACTGTACTGTACTGCAATGTACTGTACTGTTCTGTACTGTACTGGACTGTTCTGTACTGTACTGTACTGCAATGTACTGTACTGTACTGTTCTGTACTGTACTGTTCTGTACTGTTCTGCACTGCACTATACTGTACTGTTCTGTTATGTACTGCACTGCACTGCACTGCACTGCACTGCACTGCACTGCACTGTACTGTTCTGTTCTGTACTGTACTGTACTGTACTGTACTGTTCTGTACTGTTTTGTACTGTACTGCACTGTTCTGTTCTGTACTGTACTGTTCTGTACTGTACTGTTCTGTACTGTACTGTTCTGTACTGTTTTGTACTGTACTGTACTGCACTGTACTGTACTGTACTGTACTGTACTGTTCTGTTCTGTTCTGTACTCCATAATGATAATAGTACACACAGTTATGAACAGTTTCAAAGTTAATGATTAATTCATAAACACCAAACTTCTATATAAACGATGTGGTTCAGAGTTAAACATTTTAGTGAATAAAACTGTTACATAGCATAACATAAAATACAATAGCACATATTTTATGGGGTGACGTGACACAGTTCAGCCAGGCAGTCAACCAGTGATATATGTGTGTGTGTGTGTGTGTGTGTGTACTCTGACATCTCATCAGGGGAGGAGTGCTTGGTGGCATCAACAACACAGTTACATTCATTTACACACATAATAATAATAATAATAATGGAAGCCCCTCGAAATTGAGGATGGCGGCCCAAGGACCTCCTATGCATGAATTTGTTAAGATGTAAAGTAGAAGCTGTCGCCAACACAACAACCACACCCTAAATTAACGAGCTGCATGACACAGTGTCAAGGAATAGTCCAAGACCGGACAACTCGCCAACTGCACTGGCTAACCATTACCCCGGAATACGATCCGCAAATCGATTAACATCCAGGTCCCCAATTACTGCTGGGTAGACAGAGGCAAATGGCATAAAGAAACTTGCCCATAGTATCAACACACACACACACACACACACACACACACACACACACACACACACACACACACCAATGCCCTACTTTGTTCTTGTATTGAAGTTTTATACAATATTTATTTCTAAGCCACATTACAGTATTGTAATAATATTTCCACAAATATTACTTCATTAAATGTAACACATGCCATCTCACACACCACCTCATCCCCAGTTTTCCCTTCCCAGTGAGTCAAACTGTCACTAAACTGAATTTGTTATTGCTAAACCTAATTAACATTAAGGGAATTAACACTAAATGAATGATACCTGTACAGTAATTGAAATTTTGAGACTGCATTAGTTTTGGACTTAGGGACTGGGGAAATATTATACGTTGTGTTGCATTTTTTCTTCTTGATTCACCTTTATATATTTATGTATAAGAAAAGATGGCTACTGTCTCTCAAGTCCTCTTAATATGATACTGTAGATTCACAAGACACAAATATATCTTTTGAACCTCTACTGGGCTCAGTATCACCGCCGCCACACCTGTAGCGGTGGGTTGTCCATACATTGATCTTGGATTCAAAACTTTGCCCATCATATTAAATTTGGTCTTATATTAAAGGACCCCAAAATATTGTAACAAGTATAATTTAACCCTACTAAGTTCTTATGTATGTTGTGTTGTACAGCAGTGAGATGGATAAACCACATCATTGATAAAAATGCTCTAAAGTAAAACCCTCTTAATCCAGACTCTTTTTGTTCGGATTTCTTCTTTATCCGGATTGGCAAACCATTGCAGACTAATTTATGTAAATTAGGATTAACATGAAATATATAGTCTGGAGCTACCCAGGTGGCGGTGGCAAAAATAAACACTTGAATCACTAACCTGCAGTATAATATGTATAATTCTTGTACATACAGTACTGGACACAGTATTCACCATAAAGTTGGTAATACTGT